TGGGGTAAAAGCGATGTCAGAATAAAATAATAATAATAATAATAATAATAATAATAATAATAATAATAATAATTCAGCTGTACCACCCTTTCGGTGGCTGGCTGCCATGCTACCCGAAAGAAGCACGAGGACTGGGATACTGCCTAGACAAGAGAAGTTTCCTACAGGAACCCACCATGGACTCTGGCCTGCCCCAACACGGTGGTTAGTCTGGCCCGGGAGCATGGGGAATAAGGGATAAATACCTAACAATTCACGATACTACCCCGACAAACGCGCCTGGAGTCACGCAGGTTTTTTGAGTTTTTATTTGTAGTTTGATAGTAATAGTACTTCAAGGCTGATGCTATTACCACAGCCTAGTAAATAATCTCGCTGATTCGTCCCATACAAATTGGACCTGCACGATAAATACGTCATCTGCGACTCTATAGTTACACATAGTCGCTGGATGGCGTTTTAAGTATCACTGACTTGTGTCAACAACACTCACAGCACATGCATGTAGAAGCCGTGTAATTCGCCGAACGTTATATCTTAAAGAACACCACACCTTCGGCAGAGTCGGAGTGCAAGCGAAGCAAACACTTGAAAACACTTAAAAACCTAAACATGAACGCGCTCTCGGTCTGATTCTGTCAAGCCTGCTTTTTCAGTAGGAAAACGATCAATGGATACATAAAGTGTGATAACGCTCGAAGACGGCTTGAAGCTCCACGTACGTCATATTCTATATGAAGTGCATGCAGTGGAAGCACGACGAATTCTGTGAACGGAAAACAGTAAGAACGCTCATGAGCCGAAGCCTAGTAAAAAAGTGTATACATCGCCAACACCCATATAAATCAACCGAAATGGCGGAAGCTGTATAGTGCAACAGCGAAAGTGCTCCAGAATTGCGTACTCCCTCTGTAAGTGGCACTGGTAACCGGCATTTAGCGGACGCCGAAAAGTGATTAGCTATTGACCGTATGTTTTTGACCAATGGGAGCTCGCATTAGCGATGGACGGGCAGGTGGTCCACTGGGATCATTGACATTCGCAACACCTAACTGTTAGCAACAAGGCGGTCTTCGCTGAGGATTCGGAATAAAACCTCTCCCTTGGGTTTCTTTTGCCTTGTCTGAGAATTTGGAGTCCATTGGCAGTTAGCCCACTGGCCTGCAGACTCTACCATCACGGTCGCTGTGCACGCACGGATTGAACTTCCGACGAAGCAGCTAATGTAGTTTCTGAAGTATATTCGCGTTCAAGAGTGCTCAAACTCGGTTCGCGTGACAAAACTTGTGTATTTATCATCTGTGCTTGTTTGCCTGTTGAATCCACTTGGGCCAGAGTTAAACTCACACAGCGCTCGTCGGCACCGCCGGATGTACCCTAGAACCAAGTTGGGCGTAAGCCGCTTCAGTCGCAAACCAACACTCCCTGGCCTTCGATTCTGGAGGAGACTCAGCGAATGCCTCTGTCATGCATGGTGAGAAAGGACCAAAAAACATCATGAGAATAGATGCCGGAAGAAGTTGGGTGTCTGGCTCTTCTCAAACTTCTCCCTCTCACTGCACCATGAGAAATCGGCCCAAAAGGCATTGGCCGTTTTACGGGTGATTTGGTGCGCCTGCTCCCGTATTACTCGCATGGACTTCCAAATACCCTATGGAGCCTACGTCAGGGCGCTCCTTAAACACACCAACCAAGTTGTCTACACAGGACGCACGAAAGACGTCATCGTCATTGAACGTGTCCAGCGAGCCGCTACGAATACAGTTCCTGGTCCCAACTCCGTGAATTGAGAAGGCGTCTTGCGGTGCTCGACCTCTTACCCCTGAAGTACCGTTGCCTCCAACGGGACTTAATTGTTACTTATGCTTTGTTTGGACACAGCATGGCCAACGGATTTTTCACCGTTGACGCAGCAAGCACGCGGCGATGACGTGGTAAGATTTTCAAGCTCAGGACGCACATATTCATCAGGCTTTTTTCTCATTTTGCGTAGTATCTGCGTGGAATAGCCTTTCTCCGACGGTTGTCAACGCTCCATCAATAACCCAGGTCAAAGCACTATCATATAACCATTTGTGAGAGTCCTCGCGCTGGTAAGCATACTGCCCGGCGCTGAGAACATGAACAGCAGCGCTCCATACTTTTTCACTTGTGCCTTCCAGGTGAACGAGAGCCACTGACCGACCCGGGAATCTTGGGCAAAAGCCTCGATCCTGTGCATCAATCCGTGAAACCGCGAAGCAATAGCGGACATGCTCTGGGGCAATTTGCATGGGGCTTCCATCCGTGTGTTGCGGTGGTTCAGTTGCCCTTCCTTTAGCCGGACAGGGTGATGTGAAGTTTAAATCTCCTTTCGTGTCAGCGTTTCTCCGCGTCACTCTATCGGATTAACTCGGATTCTCGTAGCTCCATATGTCAGCATGACCCATTGCAAAATCTATCTTGGACTTTTTTCAACGGATTTTATAGGCGTAGTTTTCGGGCTATCATCAAAGCATCCCACCTGGTCTTTCGACTGCGGATGAAACAGCGGCGGGCGAACGCGGGTCATACTACACCCTTGGCGGAATTTTGTGGACACTGTTGTCGGATGTAACTACGCCTGAGTTTACAAAAAGACTACGTAGTCGTCTGTGCCCCTGCATGGTAGTGAAAAGTGGAAATGTTTCGAAATGTGGATGGGCAGTGCGCGCCAATCAGCAGACGCCGGTGATCTAATGCCCGGACTTGGCGATCTGCTTTCAAATAGTTCTTCAACAGAATAAGTGACGTCATCAGTGCCTATATAAAGAGAGGTCCTTTTGTCTTAAATCTACCCGCTAACTGGTGAGCAGGGGTCTTGTTATCTCATCTACCGGTTTACGTTCTGTGGTACGCGGCGGTCCGCTTTCATTAGCTTCGAGTAGCCTTCTGATCCTAATGGTTTACCTTCCTTTTTTGATCAACGCTTTCGCAGTTTGTATAGCGTACTGTTTTGTCAATTTTAGGTGTGACTGGTTGGTTTTACCGTACACCCTCCTCCATTGTGGTGGTCAGTGCTTTTGCGTCCTGCAGTTAGCTCGCACCTGCGAATTATTGGTTAAGCGAATTCAATCAAATTTCATCCGTTTGGATAGGGCTTTCATGCTTCCTCTATGAATTTTTCGTCCGGCTCAGCGTAAAGATTGAAGCTGGCGTTCCTCTGCTGCTAGCTGTCCATAAATGGGGTACAGTCCAATGTTTGTCGATGTCCTATTTTTGAAGTGCCATGCCTCCATAGCTTCACCTCTTGCTTCGTCCTTGCTCAAGGCAGAACGTAAAAAATATTCCAGCTGGCTGATATGCTCTTGAATCTATGTGACGCCGATAACAGCGAGTTTATACACACACGTTCTGGAGGAGTTCCCTCTCATTTTCTCCTAGCAGAAATTGTCACACTCCTTGGAATGAACACCGTGAACTTCCTTTCCCCCGGTCAAGCTCTCCCCTTATCTGCTGCTGTTTACTGCGCCCATCTCATGGACTCAATGTGCATTTTTTAATCCTCCATGAACTTTAACCCTTGACTTGTCAAACCAGTTTGGTTGGCCATTCTTTTTTGACCATTTTGCGTTAGCACGGGTTGTACCCAGGCGTGCGTCGCAAACTAAGACCGACTTGCCATCTTCTCCGGGCTTTGGACTTGCACTACTTCGTGCAGGAGTTTAGACGGAAACCCCATAATTTGAGACTTGTACTCCTTTTATTACGTATTTGATACATGTAATACTGCATCTTTGCATAAATCTCAAGAACCCCCCATTTCTTGCTTGTGATTTTGCGCGTCACTCAAGGGGCTCTCCTACTTGCACTACTTCGTGCAGGAGTTTAGACGGAAACCCCATAATTTGAGACTTGTACTCCTTTTATTACGTATTTGATACATGTAATACTGCATCTTTGCATAAATCTCAAGAACCCCCCATTTCTTGCTTGTGATTTTGCGCGTCACTCAAGTGGGCTCTCCTGAATACGTCGAAGTATTCTACAGTATCAAATGGGACTGTTTCCCTTTGGACCCCGGGAAGACCATCTCTAACGAAGATGTACAATCCAAGAAACAAATCGCTCAAAAGAGCCAAAACTCGATCGCCTCTCGGAGAACTTCTTGACGCTCATCAAAGGCCGTCCACGTTTCAGGTGAACGGTGTTACTAGCCCATGGTTTGAATCCCTATGTCATTGCCCATCAAAGTCCAGTAAGGCTAGTACCATTAGATCTAATAGGTCTTCTCCGCGGCATTTAGACGCTAAGTTTGGGCGAGACATTTTGGAGGGAGACTTAGCAGAGAGTTTGCGTCAGATAGAGGAAGAAGGTTGAGTCGAAGCGTAAGACACTGGCCAGTCTACGTTTGAAAACTTACCCGAGCTACTCATCGGAAAATGAACTACAATCGGGTGGTACCGCCCAGAACCAGGAGTCTGACGCTCCGAATGATGCATTTATTCGCGACAAAGCTTCCTTTTAATCTCATATTTCAACTATGGCGCTACCAGAGACAGAAACAGACAAATTAGACGGAACCCCAAGTAAATTTTGGATGTTTATGAGGCGCTTCCAAGTGAACGTCGCCAGAAGACTTCTTGGCGATATACGCCGGCTAATGTATAGCATTCACTACTGTGCTGGCGAAGCCAAAACAGCAATAGAAGATTACGTGTTGCTACCAGAAAGCGACGGCTTCGTGAAAGCAATGGATATCCTTCATAAGAAGTTCGGACGGCCCCATGATAAAGGGCAAAGCTTCATTGATAGCATAATGGTCGGAGGCCCCTTTTTGCACTAAGGAAGCTAGTACGTAAGATGCATAGCTGCTAGATCGCCCTCAACCAGATGGGCTTTACTGCCGACTTGAAGTGCTCGAAAAACCTGAAACGGCTCGTGATGCGACTACCCAGGCATCTCCAACGAAAATGGGCAAAGGTGTAACGGTGATACTACTGATCGGGAGGCACGCAAGTAGTATGTGTTGTTCGTGGAATTTCGCTTTGCGTCGATTGAAAAATGGAATTCTGTTGCGGAATTCGCAGCGCCACTTTATAATATTTGCTTTTATTTGACCGACGAATGATTGGAGGCAATGAATCTCCAGGAAGACTCGTTCGGGAGAAGATCTGTGTCCAGGTTTTGTAACTAAGATGCAGATTAGAGTTTTGCTTCCTTGTTCAGTGGTCTGTAACCGGTCGGTTGGCATTTCCGAATAAATAAATGCGCAGCGAAGGCCTCTTTCTTTTCAAAGGCAGCTGACAATATCCTATACAAACGAAAGGAGTCGTCCTTTTGCCGGCTGACTCAGTTCCTTAAGAAAAACCTGTCCGCAGCTAAAAACGTGTACGGGCAGCTAGCTAGTAGCGCTCACCGTGTGTTCAGTAAGGGTGCGGATGATATCAATCGACGCAGCAAGCTCCGACGTCCACACGTTAACGCCGTTTCATCTTAAGCTCTAGGTGTTCCCATGTGTACGTCCCATCACCCTTTATGTGAATGTGGTACATTTCGGAACAGTTCACCAGAACAGAAACTTCAGGCCTTGAGGGAACGTAAGCTGTTTTTTAATTGTCTAAAACCCAACCACCGAGCAGACCAATGCCGACCAATGCAGACCAATGCAACGTGACAGGATGTGGCAAACGCCACCATCGGCTACTGCGCTTATAAAGCTACGAGAAGGCACCCACTTCGCACATGGCTAATATTAACTCGAATTCGGTGGAAATCCCGTCAGCCTTCCTAGGGTTTCTTCCAGTATGCCTGGTTGGCCTCATTGGCGCTGTACCATGTTATGCACTCCTAGACAGTGGATCAGACTCCACGTTGGTGTTGCTCGAAGTTGCCGACCGGATTGGACTGATGGGTACCCCAACAGAACTGGAGTTTAATTCGATCAACGGAGCATCGAAGAAGAGTACAACAATCTTCTGTTTGACCGTCGAGTCCCTGAACAATGATTATCAGAAGCATGTAGAAACCGTGTATTCAACGGACCAGCTACCCCTGACGGAACCGACCGTACCGTATCAAGAGTTCCCTCGTCGCTGGCGCCCTCTGTGAGACATTATGCTTCCTCGAATCGCATCCCAAAGGGTGCTTCTTCTAATAGGCACGAATGTGCCATATGCAGACTGGGTGATAGAGCAGTGTATCGGGACTAGTGAGTGACCTTATGCTGGGTCGTGTTTGGTCCACCGGGTATCGGAGGTAGAAAAACCACCACAATAAACTGCCCTAATGCGTGGGAGACTATAGAAACCGATGTAACGCGATTGTATGAAATCGAATTTAATGATCAAAGACCCGAAACGGATATATCTATGTCGATCGAGGTTAAACATGCTCTAAGTCAGGCGAAAAAATCAATCAGTCTCCTGTGCTCATTATCAGGTCCGGCTCCCATGGAAACCTGATTGGCATTACCTACTAAGAAACAAACATTTAGCCGAGGAGCGACTAA